CGGGCCCGTGGCTAAGTCGGCCACTCTGCCCGTGCTGCGGTGGCGGGGCCTGCGCGCCCCCGGCCCTGGGGATGTCGGAGCCGGCGGGCTCGGCGCTGCAGCAAACCATGGACAGGTGCGGGGGAGGGGGAGGGACGTGGGGGGAGCCCGGACCGGTCGGTGCCGCCGGCCTGGCCCTGGGGGCCGCGGGGAGGAGCGCTGCGGTCCGGGTTCTAGTTTCACTTCCGGTCTCTGCCACTAGGTTTGTTGCTTTAAACACATCGTTTGAACCGCCGATGTCTCCCTTCCTGGTCTGTGAAACGGTGGTTACCCGACCGCTCAGCCCTCTGGGATGTTGTGAGGCTCAGGAATATTTAATAAGACAAAAAGGGACTTCTGTGTGGGATCTTGTATTGAACCAGCCTCACGGTTGGGGTAGACTTAGATGCGTTTCTGAGGACCAAGCGTTCTCCACATCTTCCTTGGCTTTTAAAATACTTGGGTACAAAGCTGAGTGGGGCGCTTTGATAGATTTTTGGAAGGGTCATAAAGACAAAGGATAATCACTGTTGAGTTAAAGAGGAAACCGCAGGGACTGGAGGTAGGGCAGTAGAGAGTGTGACTAGATATGTTAGAGAATCCTGATAGGGAAACAATGGGATTGTGTGTCTTTGTTGTTGTGTTTTGCTGTATGAAGTGAGTGGGATGGCCAGTTAACTTGAAAGTGTTACTTTTGTTTACATTTCCAAATCAAATGCATCAGAAAAAAGATTCAGTACTTCCAGCCCACCAAGTAAAGGTTGAGAGGTCTAAAGGCACAATTTTGAGCCAACAAAGAACTCTTAAAACAGAAAAAGAGCAGTAAGCTGATCATCTTGATGCTTCAAAAGGTGGGCCGACAAGCCTGAAATCAATATCAAGGAGATGCCATCAGGCTTTCATCACAAGGAATCAAAAAAGGACACGTATACAGTGTTTTTTCTTCTTTACAGGTTATCTTTAAGGAGAGTGAATTAGTGAAATACAAGCTGTTAATGGTGAATAAGGAAAATTAAACTATATGAATAGAGCTCTAGGAAGCACTGAAAGTTGCAGAGAAGAGTTTAAGTTAGAGGTACACCAGTATATTGGTTTGTACTAGACTGGCACCAATAAAAGGAAAATCAACATTATTGACAATTGGCTTTTTTGGCCCATGTAACAGATAATGTCACTGAAATGCTGTGTGCGTATGCACAGTCACAGCATGCACATGGCCAGGAATGCAGCCCTGTAGCTTGGAAAACAGCATCCTGCCAGTAAATCTGCAGAGAGGAAAGGGGCGTTGGGGTGGGGGCAGACCAAGGCCCCCACAGTGAGGGACAGAGTGGGTCTGGGGCAGGGGCAGGCACTACCCAGCCAGGGCAGGGTGCAAGACGGAGCCGTGGGATGGCAGATTGTCGAGAGGGCATGAGAGAGTAGGGAGGGGCAGCTCCCCACTGCTGCGTGCACCCCCCCAATTTGTACGTGAGGTGAAGGCGGGCTACACACAGGGAGGGTGGGGTGGCAGTGGCACTGGGAGGGGGAGCTATGGGGGAGCTACAGTCACCCCAAAATTCTCTGTAGACCCCTCCCAGCACCACCACTGCCTGCCCCACCTGCCCTGAGCGCAGCCCTGATGTAGCCCTTGGCTCACCAAAACTTAAGTGGTCTGGCAGCTGAAATAATTGCCCACTCCTCCTTTAGAGAATACCTTATCCTTAGTTTTTTCATCATAACTCACTATTAACTTTTGTTGTTGCAGTTAGAGGTGCACCAATACATCAGTCCGATATCAGATTGGTACCGATATGAAGAAAATTTGCTGTATCGGATATTGGCCCAATGGGACCGATAATTTGGCTGATAAATGTTTGTCCTGCGCGCAGCCAGGAGCAGAGCCTGGCAGTGTGGAGAGCTACTTCCAGCTGGTCAGTCT